CACAGAGACACAAAACGCAGAAACACACGCAGACACACACGTAGAAACATACATACCCATTCACACACGCCGAAGCACGTACACATATACACACAAACACAGACATACGCACACAGACACATACACAGGAATAAACATACAGACACAGACACATACACTCAGATACACAGGCAGGCGCATACACAGACACTCATATAGACACACATAGGCACATATAAACAGACATATACAGAATGCAGACACACACGCTCAGGCACACACAGACAAACACACAGACACGTAGACGCACTTAAGCTCACATACACAGACTCCTACACACAGACACACACACACACAGGGACACATACACAGTCACACTCACACACATACTCACACACTGACATACGCACAAAGGGACAAAAGAGATATATAAGATGAGAGATGAAGACCCAGATGCAGACATGTTTGCGCGTAGTTTGCCACCAAAAGTTGAAAATTTTTACAGATCCAACAAAGAATATTTTGATAGTTTGTTTCAAGCAAACGAAGCCTAACGTCGCAAGGCAGGCGACACAGGAGAGCCTTCAGGCCTTCAGTTTCTGTGCGAGACAAACAGGGATGCATTTATAAGAAAAAGAGACATATATTATGAGCAATGGAGAGGGGATCAAAATCCCAACGGAAACTAAATAAGATTTGCAGTTAAGAAGATAACGAAAATGGGGCCAAATCCCTACTTCTACCGACCTCCAACATACCCTTCTTCTCTTGTGTTTTGCAGCTATGATACACACGCACATAACACAACAGACACAAACAAACGGCAACAGATGTAAACATACTAACAATACATAAGCAAGACATACAAATACCTACACGATAGCACGAAAACACAATACTCGCAAAAGTAAAAAAGTTGAAAAAAAGGGGAAGCCCCAGACCCTCCCCCACCCCTACCCCCATCAGTAGAAACGAAAGGTATGTGGAGACCACGTGACCTCGCCAGTCACAGTCCTTTTTTGTGATCAAGGTACTCGCAGAGTCTGACAATGGCCTGTCAGATTTGGCAAGCTTAGGGTCGCGCGAGTTTCCTCCCTGAACACATTCATGGCTCGAGGGTTGCTGTCTGTGTAAGGTTTGGCTGGGTGTATGTACTGAACACTATAAGGAAATAAACAGATACATAGAACTGGCGTGGCCTCTAGTGTTTATACCAACCCTGTTTCTCCGTGACATAGCTGTCGGACGCCAACCTGATAAGTAAGCTTCAATTGCGAATGCTGAAAAGCTCAGAGCGTGGCCGGCACCATCCTTTTTGTGTGTCTTTAATAAAATTCTAAAAATAACATGTATATTTCCCACGAAATTGATAATTTAACTATTGCATCGTATTTTAAAATGAATGAACAATGCTTAAAAAGACTCAATGTGAGAATAAAACAGCTCAAACCGTAGCAGTAATTATCTTGAAAAAGAATGAGTCTTGATTCAGTAAAGAATAAAGAAACATTTCATAAGAATGCATTAACTTTTAGAACGTAATCATTACAGTCAGCAAAATAGTTTGCATAATCAGCAAATTTAATTAGCTTCATATTTTTGGTTAATGCTCCGGGAATGTGGTTTTTTAAACTAATGATGAGAATTTATGTGAGAGATGCCCAACTTTTAGAGGGTGTTTTAAAATGACCTTAAAATATGTATTAGCCTTCTAGAATGAATATAATAAACTGAATACACAAACACACACGCGCGCACACAGGCACCCACAAATGAGGCTACAAACAATATACACAAATAAGGGCGGGCCTATATAATTTACCCCAGATTTGGTTTACCTTCATAATAGTTACTAGACTCGGACACCAAACTGATAAGCTTAGCTTTGTCTTTGAAGATCTCATCATGACTATTACACTTAAAAAAAAAATCTATGGCTGTAAGAGGTAACCACTGATGCTCTGATAGTTGCTGCATCCTCCTCTTAATTCCACTTTCCAATGTTATTATATCTGCTTTCATCATCATCATCAGTTCTCGTTATGCCTAGTGGCACATGAGGCTTCAGAGAAGACTTTCCATGCTTTTTTGTCCTGTGCAATCTTCAGTGCAGTTTTCCATGTCATAGATGCCGAACTCAGGTCACTTTCCATCGTTCGTCTCCATGTTGTTTTTGGGCGCCCCTGTTTTCTCTTTTCCTCTGGTGTCCATGTGAGAGCTGTTTTGGCAATTATATCAGGATTCATTCTCATAACGTGGCCAAGCATTTCCATCTTCTCTTCTTAAATCTGCTTTAAATTGTACGAAATCATTTTTGATGCAGTCGCGTATAAGTAACTTCTTTACGTGACGTGTCTCTACCTTGCAGAGAAGGCGCACATGTGAATAGTGATACTAGCGTCGGTACAGAATATCATACGTCTCCTTGTTTTTAATCATTTGCTTACAATATCAAAAGTATTTCTGCTACTGTCCTTACTGTCTCAAATTGTAATATCGCCATATATACTCGCTTTTAATTCTAACAGCATATATAACTGACTGACACAACAGCTTTTACACACAACCATTCTCTGCGAAAACCAACACGGTGCCCTAACCGTTTGCGTCACTTTCTCAGATAGTCGAAATCATCTCTGAGCTATGTTAATAAACCATCTGTTTTTCTTGCATCAGAGAAATTTGTTGACTCTCTTTGTTTGTGGTAAACATTGTTGTTAACTTCCAAATGTTCTTAGATCATAGGGCTTTCTGCTTAAGGCCTTGTATATATCTCTCTCTCTCTCTCTCTTCTCTCTCTCTTTCTCTCTCTCGTGCGCGCGCGCGCACACACACACACACACACACACACACACACACAAACACACACCATATCTTTCAGGTGACTTTTGCCCACTCACTTCTGCCTTTATAACCCCCAGTGGATCATAAGCACTAACCAACTGGCGCCAAGATGCTCTATCATTCGCTATAGCCTGCAGATCTCATTGTGTCCTCTCTTACTTTTGAACTTTACTCTTTAGCTCCCTTCTCCATACGTATTTTGGTCTTTCTTGATTTCTATGCTCTCTTCATTCTCTTCAATTTTGAAGAGACTCTGTGGGTCCCACTTTAAGGACATTCGAGCTATATTATTATTAGGTTTTCTCAACGTGTGTCTTATCCAACGCCGGCGTCATTTGTTCGTTCTTGGTTTACTGAAACTTGTTGAATTATCTTCTAAAGCTCTACATAAGTGATTCTTTCATACAATTGTGCTTCTATTCTGCGCAGGTGGCAGTTAATGAATCTTTGTAGTTTATTATGTTGTTCTCCATGTTACCGTTTCATACACCAGTACTGATTTGACATTGCAATTTTTTATCAGATTAGTATTAGTTTTAATGTCTTTTGATCTCCTCAAATTCCATAGTGCTATGACAACTCCACTTGCTTTTTGTTTTCGTATTTTAATATCTCAATCACTTCTTCCATCTTTAACTATATTATTGCTCAAATAGTAGTTCGACTACGTCTTGGAGTGGGAAACCATTAGGAGAGACAATATTAATGTTTGCCTGATTTATTCTCATTATCTTTGTCTTTTCCTTTTTCCCTTATTTGTTAGCTTTCCCTCACGAAGAGCTAGACATGTCATGTCTTTATATGTTGCCTTTACTCGGTTAATAATGTTCTGTGTTATTCCACAGTGCCCCTGTAATGTCCATTGAGATTCCCTATTAATGCTGTTAGAAGTTTTTAATAGTTTATGAATCCAATGCAAAGGGAAGAATTTAGTTCAATTCTTTGCTTGATAATTATACGTAGTGTGGCTATCTGACCAGTACACGATCTGTTTGGTCGAAAACCTGCCTGTTCATTTCCTAATGTGTAATCAATAGTATCTTTTGTTTTTTTCCAAACTAATGACGTTTCCGCTTCTATTTACAATGTGATAAAGCAATTGGGCGTGAGAGGAAAAGAGAGCAAACGAGTACTGAAACGGCTGGGCGAGGCTGCGGAGAGTATCAATGAAACGGGACCTACTTTCTTAGGGGAGACTAACGTAAAAATAACCCACTTCTCAATACAACTTATGCTACACATTTTAGTCTAGGTGGACACATTGCCAATGTCATTTAGAAAAAAAAAAAGTATCATTAGATGATGGATTTCGAAATTCTCGAAGAGGCAGATAGGAGTAGTTGGTGGGTTTTTTGTTTTTAGGGGGAGGGGGTGGTGACAGACACTATTAACTAAGCGAGCTCAAAACATGATTTTAAAGTTCTAATTTTTGATGATTTATATTTTAATTAACGCTTCTTCTGCCATTCTTTGTGTGTGTGTTGTTGCTGAATTTGTTGGTCATTTAGAAGTACACTGGTAAACTTTATTTTCAATTGTTTAAGAAAAAGCATAACCATGTGATAAAAAAAAAATAAAAAAATGTTTAAGTCTCAAAAATATAACTTAAACCACCACTAATTTAGAGACACGCTTAAATGATGCGTGTTCTAGAGTCCGCAAACCAGACAATCTCTATATCTGCACAGACTATGATTGAGACATTAACCAAATAAGAGTCGTGCGCTTTCTATTTTCTTTCTTGTCCATTTCGCCAAACTGAGCCACAGCAACGTGTGGCGGGTACTACTAGTCATAAAGAAAATCTATGCAAAAAAAAAAAAAAACATTTGCAGAGATTGGTGGCCGGTCCCCAGCTGGTAGATGAAGGACGATAAAAACGATATTTAAGTGAATTTTATATCACACAAAGCACATCAGGAACAAAAATGATGATAAAGAAGGCAACACTTCAATGCTATGAGTAAAATTTGATGTTAATCTGAGGTTTATTGTCAATAAACAACTATTTCACACCTATTTCACACAATGTCAATAAGCATTTAACAATCTGTGTGATTGTCAAATAGATTAACAGTCTAACTGCAAGCCGTGTTTATATGTCAAACGAGCAACAGTTTCGTTGCAGACGTGGTTTTGTTATTTTCCAATAAATTGCAGCGCCTGGTCGAGGGTTCTCAGAGCTGTGGCTCCCCAGCGACCACATAATCTTCAATAAGGCATTCATTGCTACCTTTCAATATCTTGAAGAACCCTGAAAGTACAATCAGTAAAATGTTTCTTATCTTGAAGAATAAAATTACACACCGACACATAACCACCACCTTCACAATCCTCATTTTCAGCGTCCTCATTATCATCATTCATCATCATCATCATCATTATCATCGTCAACAACATCATCAGTGAATGGTGGCACTTTGTGTAACCTGATGTTGGTCGCTCGTTGTGCGGTCCTGGTGGGGTTAAACTTTATTCAACATACATAATGACAAGTATACCGTTGGCAGTTAATTAATTTCTCCCAATTACAACAAATGGTAAGTTGCGGCAGCTTTTTTTTAAAATGAAAACTAAGTTTCCATACAAAGTTGGATCATCATAGCTGTAATAAATAGTAAGTTACATTACTTAACATTATGATAGTTGATGTGTATAGTAATTTACTTGATAATAGATGGGATAAGTGGTAAATTACTTTACCTATCTTTATCATTATATGACTGGACAATAATTACATTACTTCCCCCAACTACAGCGACGTTCCTCCATTTACCCCAAAGTGGTAGCTCTGCTACCCATTACCTAGAAGCTGGGTAAACCCCGGCAACCGCCCGGCTTCGGACACCGGCCGTGTGCTGCAGTGAGTCGCAACTGGATTTGAAAGCGAGTCTCCTATCGACTTCGCTAACCCAGCTCCTACATTAAAATTGTGATACATGGTACCCAACATCCCTTGTATGTTGTTGGTTATATGTTAGTGTAATCGGTAGATTCCGTTTATCAACTTTATCATACTGGGGATAGATACATGATTTCACTAATTTATCACAAATGTCGATAAATGGTAAGTTGCTTTATCTAATTTATTGTGACTGATTGATCAATAAAAAACAGTAAAATATATTTCTTACCTTTATCTCCCCAGTCTTCATTCCACGAGTTTGCCACCAGCCAGTATTTCTCTCCATTTTCCACACCATATCCCAGGATTTTCACTGCGTGCCCACCCAGTACCCCTCCGGCTGTGTGCTTGTAAACACCTGGGCATAGAAATCACGCTTAAGTCAACTCCGCATACAAGGTAGATATAGTTAAAATAACAAAATGTATAAATAAAGTAACAACAACAGTGTAAGATAGAAATAAAGGAACAACTGTCAGAGGTAGAAATAATTAAATAGATATAAGGGATAATAATAGATAAAGTATCAAAAATCTGTATAGGGAAAAGTAAAAATGGAAACCAGCTAGAGCAGTGATGCCCAAACTGTGCGCTGCGGCGCTTAGGGGAGCCGCGACTTTTTCACAGGGGCGCCACGAAATATGGTGAAAACTTCATAATTAGTTTAACCAGCACACGAAAGTCATACTGTTACTTAGGTTAGTGCCCCGTGGAAAAAATTGTATTGAAAAAAAAAAAAAAGGCTCCGCTACCAAGAAAACACTGAGTTAGAGTATAAATAGTTAAAGAACGTATTTTATATTACAATTACAAAAACATCCAATCAGAGCAATTTGAAGATGAATTAAAACGGAACAGTGAAATTTTACCAAATCCGTCAGTGGAAGACGTTGACCAAATCTAGATGGATATTAGGAAATGACTCAAACTACTGTAGAAGAATGTTTTGGTGTGTCCACCATAAACAGAAAGAATAAATAGTTCGGTAAAAAATATGTAAAGAAGCAGTAAGTAAGAAAAAAAAATCAGGCAGATGTGGCTTAATAACACTAGCAACATACGTAATGTGGGCAACATCACATCGGACGCTTTTACTTCCCAAGACTTGTCCTGGTACCCATTTAAAGTTGGGTGGACCTGGGAGGCAAGATCATTTTTGGAAGGAAAAAGGTTGATGGTGAAAGGAATCAGATACGATTAAATAGTTATTGTGAAATACCAACACGAACATTAGGCAGTTCCTAGTCAACTGGTAGGTGCTGCTTGTTTTTCATGATTGTGTTCGACTGATTTATTTTTAACTGTATGTCTTTCCAGACGATAGTGTTATATTGCGCTATGAGGAGGCATGGAACTCAAGCCCATGGCGATGGCAAGTGTGAATAGTAAGACCTACCCAAGTTAAGAAAAGTCTTCCACGATTATAGCGTGGAATTCAGGACCATTGTTGTCAATATTTATGTGGAGTCTGTTTCTTTTCAGACGCGCAGCTCTTATCCTTTCTGCAATCCTTTCTTCCTCCTTTCTCATTCCCTTCCTGGTGTGCTCCCTGCACACAACACGGTCCATGGCATTTTGTTTCTGAGTCCACCTCAATACCTGTATCAGTCTTGTCCAGCTTGACACACATATTTATATTGTAACAAAGGTCGACATCTTGTGTTCAAGCTGCTTGATTAGTCTGGGCTGATTTATTGTTTCACTGGTTTTTAAATGTGACGGGAAGGGGTATTTTGTGGGATTACACAGGAACAGTGAAATGATGGCAGGGAATTTCAACCTCGACTAACGACTGTATAATGAAACTTACCGGATTTGTAAGACAAGAAGTCCTCATAGACAAGAAATGCAGCAGTCACAGGACCGTTGTCCACTAGATCCTGCATGATCTGCTCTTCGCTCTGGATGCTGTAGGACGATTTTGCTGTGGAACAGTTTGCCAATACAAAGTCACTGGAATAGTATTAACTGAACGAAGCGGCAAAGCTTAACTCTCTCTCTCTCTCTCTCTCTCTATATATATATATATATATATATATATATATATATATATATATATATATATATATATATATATATATATATATATATATATATATATATATATATGTCTGTCTGTCTGTCTGTCTGTCTGTCTGTCTGTCTGTCTGTCTGTCTGTCTCGCTCTCTCTTTGTGTGTGTGTTGGTAAGGGGGGGAGGGGTGTAAAATATTGGGTGAAAGAGGTGAAGTCTATTTAATTATTATTCCTCTGCGATGGGCACGTTGAAATGTTAAGCAGCCGTCAGTCCTTGGGGACAATGAAGTTGTGTCGCTGGTTTTGGAGTCTGTATGACAATAAAGTCCAATGCGGCAGTGGCCATTTCTGCCACATAGTACTAGTACGCATAAAAACAATGATACACTATCTTTCTTAGGATGTGAAGTCTTCTCTCTCTCTCTCTCTCTCTCTCTCTCTCTCTCTCTCTCTCTCTCTCTCTCTCTCTCTCTCTCTCTCTCTCTCTCTCTCTCTCTCTCTCTCTCTCTAGTTTGCAGCATTTTTGCCTCTTTCAAACTGCGATAGTCACTTGAGTTGGTTAGCAGATGATCGCTCCCACGTGTCTCTGTCAATATTGTTATCTTTCAGGTCGCGTTTGCAAATAACCTAATAGAGTAGCTTTGGTCTTCCTGCAGTCTTATCCATGTTTCCCTGAGTGTGTGTTTTAGAGCAACGATGAGAACATCATGGCAGAGTATTACAGATGTCTATAAAGAAGTTAATGGTGAAAGAAAACTTATCATCCACATCAGAAGGACACAATCTAAATTCTTTGGTCACACAGTGAAAAGTAGAAAACTCGGGCATCGTTTCAATGGAAAAGTTAGGGGGGGGGGAGGGGGGGGGAAATAGAGAGACCGAGAGAGAGAAGATGCAATTCAGTCTGACATCTTGGCATGGATAACCATCTGTGTCAGTAATTATTAGAAGTACACGTGTGTACCAGAATACTCAAGTGTCTGAAAACCTTTTTTTGGCACATACAGATCCCACTGCCATATACAGGTCCCGCTTTTACATACAGGTCCCACTTTTACATACAGGTCCCACTGCCACATACAGGTCCCACTGCCACATACAGGTCCCACTGCCACATACAGGTCCCACTGCCACATACAGGTCCCACTTTTACATACAGGCACCAATGTCACATACAGGTCATACTGCCAAATACAGGTCCCACTTTTACATACAGGTCCCACTGCCACATAAGGTCCCACTGCCAGATACAGGTCCCACTGCCACATACAGGCCCCACTGTCACATACAGGCCCCACTGCCACATACAGGTCCCACTTTTACATACAGGCACCAATGTCACATACAGGTCATACTGCCAAATACAGGTCCCACTTTTACATACAGGTCCCACTGCCACATAAGGTCCCACTGCCAGATACAGGTCCCACTGCCACATACAGGCCCCACTGCCACATACAGGTCCCACTGCCACATACAGGTCCCACTGCCACATACAGGCACCACTGCCACATACAGGTCATACTGCTACATACAGGTCATACTGCCACATATAGGTCCCACTGCCACATACAGGCACCACTGCCACATACAGGTCCCACTGCCACATACGGGCACCACTGCCACATACAGGTCATACTGCCACATACAGGTCATACAGCCACATACAGGTCATACTGCCACATACAGGTCCCACTGCCATATACAGGTGCCACAGCCACATACTGGTTTCACTTTAATCTTTCCATTGTTCATCTCAGAATGCGTTTTCTTTTTCAGTGGTTTTTTTCCCCTTAAACCATTAAATAATAAATATTATTATTCCGCTAATTACATCTGGCCACTTGGTGATTATGTAGCTGAGAGTTGGGCACGTTAGCCTATCAGCCCTTTGAAAATAGGTTTTACATCCGCTAGGAGCAGAGAAAATGTTTCTTTGATCTATCATTCCATCTCAACCCAATTTACGATAGGTAAAGCCACTTTCTTGGGAAATAATAGAAGACTGTATGATGCTGACCACATCAGAGGTGCCCTACTGCAGGTTCCGTGTGCACACTTTAAGCATAACGTAGCAATCGTGATAATTAAAATGTTACTAAAACCGTACATTTTTCATTGCTAGAAGAAAGAAAGAAAGAAAGAAAGAAAGAAAGAAAGAAAGAAAAAGAAAAGAAAGAAAGAAAAGAAAGAAAGAAAGAAAGAAAGAAAGAAAGAAAGAAAGAAAGAAAGAAAAAAAAAGAAAGAAGAAAAGAAAGAAAGAAAAGAAAGAAAAAAAAAAAAAAAAGAAAGATAGAAAGGAAGAAAAAAAAAGAAGGAAAGAAAGAAAGAAAGAAAGAAGGAAAGAAAGAAAGAAAGAAAGAAAAGAAGAAAGAAAGAAAGAAAAAGAAAGAAAGAAAGAAAGAAAGAAAGAAAGAAAAGAAAGAAAGAAAGAAAGAAAGAAGAAAGAAAGAAAAGAAAGAAAAGAAAGAAAGAAAGAAAGAAAGAAAGAAAGAAAGAAAGAAAAGAAAGAAAGAAAGAAAGAAAGAAAGAAAGAAAAGAAAGAAAGAAAGAAAGAAAGAAAGAAAGAAAGAAAGAAAGAAAGAAAGAAAGAAAGAAAGAAAGAAAGAAAGAAAGAAAGAAAGAAAGAAAGAAAGAAAGAAAGAAAGAAAGAAAGAAAGAAAGAAAGAAAGAAAGAAAGAAAGAAAGAAAGAAAGAAAGAAAGAAAGAAGGGGGAGTGGCGGAACAAATAAAGAATTCTAAAGCACGATGGGAAAGAAAGAAGAAACGTAGAAGGCTTGACTGTAGGACAGAAAGAAGGTTGGAAGATATGACTGTCTATGAGCAGCTAAAACTAACCTTTCCTCTTGTCTTCAGTGTAGGTTTTGTTGTAGCCACTTCTGCAGGCCAACTGGCAGGCTGGTGTTGGGGCATCGCCTTTACATGACGGGTATTTCCCGGTTGTGTGATGATCACAATGAGGAAGAGAGTAGGGCTTGCACCCCTTATGGAAAGAACATATTAAAAGCGTAAACAAAGAGTGGTATTAACCATTGTTGCCACTTTGGAAGTTTAACATCCAGATTTAGATGTTTTTTTCTTGTATTTAGATGGCGTTTTTGTCGTTTAGATAGTAGATGTTTTACTAGATGTTTGCCATTCGGAGTGAATTTATCGTCCCCATGTAGGATCCAATTTTATTTATTTTGAAGCCCCACCCTGGCTTTAGCTGGGGGTCCTAAATATAACCGGGCCTTAAATTTGGCCTAACGGCTGAACGGGGTTTCCGGTATCTCTCCACGGGTGATCCCCATCAGCATAGTGGCACTTTGTGTCACGGGGTGTTTATCGCCTGTGTGATGACCGTTTAAAGAGCAATGGCAAACTACTGAATGTAAAATTTGCTTAGAAAATCCACAAAAGCCAAAATAATTGCTGGCGTTGGTTCTTCAACGTCATGTAAAGGATACGCAACTAACTTCACCACTCACCTCATTTGATCCGTACTGTCCGCCCGTTACGATGCCTTGGCTCTTGTACCACAGATAGACTCTCGCAGGATTTCCACCATCGCACCTATATCAAAGATAGTTTTTTTTTTTTTTTTTTAAGGATGGGGGCCATGTAAAGTTGTTAGATCCTGCACCTGTGTTTGTGTGTGGTGTTAGTTTAAGTACACAGTTAAATAATAACGAAAACAAAGTTACTTACTTGGCTCGTGCAAGCTACTCTTCACAAATGTTAAAGTTTGTGTGATACAAATAATAATAATACACCGGTAATAGTTAGGAGTAAAAGATAATGGGAACAGACTAGGCAAATAATAAGACAGATAATGAGAATAAACCAATTAAATGGTAATACATGTATAATGAGAATTGAAGGACAACATTAGTTCATATATCAGACAAACAATACCGCAGAGATTATGAGAATAAATCAGACAGACAATGCCCTAGTGATTACAGGAATAAATCAGACAAACAATACCGCAGAGATTATGAGAATAAATCAGACAGACAATGCCCTAGTGATTATAGGAACAAATCAGACGAACACTACCGCAGAGATTATGAGAATGAATCAGACAGACAATGCCCTAGTGATTATAGGAACAAATCAGACAAACAATACCGCAGAGATTATGAGAATAAATCAGACAGACAATGCCCTAGTGATTATAGGAACAAATCAGACAAACAATGCGGCGGAGATTTATGAGAATAAATCAGACAAACAATGGCGCAGAGATGATGAGAATAAATCATACAAACAATACCGCAGAGATTATGAGAATAAATCAGACAGATAATGCCCTAATGATTATAGGAATAAATCAGACAAACAATGCCGCAAGATGTGAAAAAATCAGACAGACAATGCCCTAGTGATTATAGGAATATATCAGACAAACAATGTCGCAAAGATGAGAAAAAAAAATAAGACAAACAATGCCGCAGAGATTATGAGAATAAGTCAGACAAACAATGCCCCAGTGAGTATAAAAATAAATTAGACAAACAGTGCGGTAGAGATGAGAATAAATCAAACAAACAATGCCGCAGAGATAAGAATAAATCAGACAAACAATGCCGCAGAGATTATGAGAATAAATCAGACAAACAATGCCATAGAGATAAGAATAAATCAGACAAACAATGCCATAGAGATAAGAATAAATCACACAAACAATGCCGCAGAGATAAGAATAAATCAGACAAACAATGCCGCAGAGATTATGAGAATAAATCAGACAAACAATGCCGCAGAGTTAAGAATAAATCAGACAAACAATGCCGCAGAGATAAGAATAAATCAGACAAACAATGCCGCAGAGATAAGAATAAATCAGACAAACAATGCCGCAGAGATTATGAGAATAAATCAGACAAACAATGCTGCAGAGATAAGAATAAATCAGACAAACAATGCCGCAGAGATAAGAATAAATCAGACAAACAATGCCACAAAGATGATAAGAGTAAATCAAACAAACAATGCCATAGAGATGATAATAATAAATCAAACAGACAATGTCCCAGAGATGATCAGAATAAATCAGACAACAACGCTTCAGAGATGATGAGTATAAATCAAGCAAGCAATAAACCAGTGATATCGAGAATAAATTAGGCAAACAGCAACTCAAGAGATAACGTTAATAAATCAGGCCAAAAAATGGCGTTGACTTCCATGGCGACCATCGATAGATAGGTATCAGGTAAAGTCCTGGGAAGTGCAGGCGACCAGTGTGAGGTTGACCACATCACCCACCTAGTGCCGATTGGTCTATAAAATATAGATCTAACACTGTATATACAATACACCGGAAGTCGTGGGAAAGGGACCTTTACTTGAGTCGCTGAAGTTTGTTCACTTCTCATCGAAAGCTCGGTATCAATGGTTATTTCATACCATTTAATTCTCTCTGTTCTTAGCAGGTATCAGGTAATGCATTTGTGTCGTGTATTCTTTTTCTTCTTCTTCTTCTTCTTCTTCTTCTTCTTCTTCTTCTTCTTCTTCTTCTTCTTCTTCTTCTTATTCTTCTTCTTCTTCTTCTTCTTCTTTTTTAGCGTCCCCCGGCTGTAAACTCTGACGGAAATTGCTGGCTTTTCGTCCACTTCTGGACTTTGGCCTTGATTTGGAACTGGATTTCTTACGAGCACATCTGTTTTACGGATCCATTATATATGCATGCAGACTGTTGGTTCCTCGCTTCAGAGGCAGATGCACTCAGACTTTACTAAAAACACCCCTATTAGTTGTCTTGAATAAATTATTAGGCGTAGGCGTTGCCAACGTGCTTCGTAGTGTCGGGGTGCCGGGTTCGATCCCAGCTGCAGACCTTGCGCCATGGTTTCGACATGGTATCGATTGGTACCCTTTCTTGCCCTTTCTAGATTGGGTCCCAGAAACCCCTTTGAAGACTATGTTTTTTTTTTCTTCCTAATCCTTTCAATACTTGGAATGTCTCGTGGCGTCAGGGCAAGAAGAGATCTCTGGAGTTGACCCTTCTGTTCGCTTCGCACAAAGTACTTTCTGTGTGTGTGGTATTTCTGCAGTCCATCTTCTGCGTGGTCGGTCCCTGGGTCTATTACTGTTGTATCTGGTAACATTACTCTCTGTGGTGCCCTGTCTGATGCCAATTTTGTGTTACATGGCCAAACCATTTGATTTGCTGTCTACCTATAAAGTTCAGTATTGGTTCTGTGCCGACTCTCCTGATATATATCATCGTTCCTTAGTCGATCTTTCCTTGTTACACCTAGCATAGTGTGTAAACATCTCATTTCTGTCTTGACTATATACCTTCTGTCAAGGTTTGACATTTATAGCATTGCTTGGCGCGGTGATTTCGGTCACAGGCGTGCGGGAAACATAAATACAATGTGAAATGTATAAATAGATACTCCGCATCTCAGTCGGGCGCCAGTCCTTTACTGTTCTGGTTTTACGGAACCTCATGCAAGACTCCTGCTGCACGTCCTCGTCGTGCACCACGAATAATGTCTCAAATGAGCATTAACAGAGCTGGCAGGGGATCATGGAGTTCGTGGCTCCCAGAGTTGTAATGCCCTTTCTGGCTCTCATCAGCCCGTCCCAAAACGCATGAGTGAAAAAGTCTATTAAATCCATTTGGAACATGAGTAAAGTCTGTTTGCCAAATGTACCACTGAATGACAACTTTCGGTTAAAAGTCTGTGGAGTGAATGGAAAACTGTGCTGCTGAGACTCAACCATTGACCAAGAGATTTACCCGCAGCCTAGACGAGTGAGCTTTTTCTTCTAGTAAGATCATACCTACGTACACCTTCTATCACCCCTCAGCACCGTCGTCACCGCGCTGAGGTACACCACGACAGCAACTGTTCATCTGCTGGCTAGGCCCTAATATGCGACAAAGATAAATCCTACGGCACACTAGCAAGCTCTAAATCCGACCATCATAAAATGTACTGATTAAAAAAAAAAAAATCCCGTATCAACTCGTCCCACTCGCTCGAGGCCAGGCCTAGTGAGGCCAGGTCTGACACATGTTTGTCTCTACTGTCGTGCTAAGGGCACAGTTGAAGCAACGTTAAAGGTGTCTAACGTGCGATGAAGAAGAATGTACCTATTTGTGTGGTCACAAAAGTCATAGACCTGCGGTCTGCTCCCCGCTGATCTCCAAAGGGCGCAGCCCGAGTCGAGCGGGAAGCTCAGTATATGGTTGTGAGGTTAAGCAGTCATGTGCAGGACGTGGCGATTCCTTGGGTGAGCCCAGGACCAGAGCGTCATGTGTCGCCTCTGCATTTTTGGAAGACTCTTTGACTGGCTTTATCGCATCTTTGTTGAAGTAATTTATTAGTATCTATTTAATATTGTCTCTATTTTATTATTATTACTATAGAATCATAATAAGTAGCAATACAGCGTGTACCAAGCAATGACAAGTAATCATAATTATGGGAGTATATATAAATGACTTTGGCTCTCAAGTTGAGCCAGCCTTCAATGGGTAACAGATACAGTCTTGGGAAATAAAGGCGGAAGGCGGGATGTTGACTAAATCACCCATCGAGTGCCGATTGGTCTATTAAATATGTCTAACCCTATTTGTGCCCAATACACATGAAAGCCTAGAAAAGAGGCCTTTACTTTACTTTTACTAATTATATGAAATCATACTTATTATAAATGTCACTATTTTTATAGTAACATTTTTCTTGCTTTGTTATTAGTTTGTTTATTTGTCCATGCTTATTTTTGCACCCTATTATTCTTTACTATTCCTGCTTCTTCTTATCAGTGAATTTATAACTTGATATCGTAATCATTTTTACACTTATTATTTACATTGGCAGTATTAATTATATTATAGCTGATTGTATATATTCCATTTAGTTATAATTATGATTTTTGTTGACTGTTGGCGTTCTTCGTGGCGAAATGGTCAAGCTGTTTGCCTCACGCTCTGAAAGTCGTGGGTTCATTTCACACCAGCGCCGTCTAGTTCTCGAGTCCAATTTTTGCGGAGATCTCTGGGGATCATCACCAGAGCTACGGATGTTGTGTTTTGTGCGACACTCGCGGTAGGCTACCAGTTGTTCTGTGGAGAGAGACTAAGCCATATGGGATAAAACCGGGTGCAATGAAGTATATCCTTTCACCATTACCTTATTGAGTGTTATAATTAGGTTTACTATTATAAACATTGACTGAGGACACTCGTTATGATCACAGAGATATGGTCTGGACTTAGAAGACGTTAGCACAACATAGAAAAAATATGCTCTGTACAGAGTGACAAGCATCAATTCAGAGGTCCCGGGTAGTTAGCATCCTTTGGATATTTTATCCAGGGTATACGGGTGTGTTGGGAACTAAACAGGCAGATAGACGTTGTTAGGTCCTTTAGAGAGTTAACAGGCACAAATAGATCATTACGGTCTGAGAAAAATAGCACAGCGAGAAGTTACCAGGGAATCTGGCCGACGCTCAATAATCAAGGTTGGTTCCCTGAGCTCTACGGGAGGTATATGGATGATTGCATCGGTGTCACCGATTAGCCCCTACAGGAACTGTAGAACTTCATTCAATTGTTCGCTAACTTTCATCCCAGCATCCGATAAACTTCTAGCATCTCACCTTCGTTGGTGCATTTTCTGGATCTCACTGTCACCGTGAATTCTATGGGCCTTAGCACCTAGGTGTACTACAAGCCTGATGATTCCAACGCTTTTTTTTTTTCTCTACACGTCCTCCCATCCCTCCTCTTGCAAGGACTCAGTTCTGTTCTCCCAACTTTGACGCCTCCGCAGACTATGCCAGGAGAACGACGACTTTCACAACAAGGCCCTGTAATTGCTGGACTTCTTCCGGCTTCGAGGGTATCCTAAACATGTCGTATCTGCCGCCTTTCACCACGCACGGTCTTTCCATCGAGCCGAGGCTCTAGCTTATAAGCCGAAACGTCACAACGACAGACCTTCCCTATCACTTACCTACCACCCTCACAACATCTGCATCAAGGCATCTCTCCATCCTTAAAGCCGACCCTGCCACCAGCACAATTTTCTCTGAACCTTCTCTAGTGGCCTACGGGCATGATCGTAACCTAAAGGACATTCTAATCAAAAGTCGGTTACGTCCCGCGTCTGAGCTCCACTTCGGCACGGCCTCTTACCACATACATGTATGCAGGACCTGTCCATATGTGGTCCAGGTAGCTAGTCTAGAACTCCCTAACGCCACCTTCCACTTACGTGAAGCATTCTACTGTACCAGCCGCAATGTCATTTATGCCATCAACTGCAAGAGATGTGGCATGAAATACATGGTGAAACAGGTCTACGGCTGGCTGACAGGTTGAGACAACATCTTTTGGATTTGCAAAATGGTGCTGCGAAACCAGTACTGTTGCACTTTAGTTCCCAGGACCACCAAGGTGTCCTCGACATGGAGATGACAGCGATTAAATCCAGCCACTCCAGCGACAGAGTCCGCAAGTCTCTTGAGAATCATTGTATTTATACGCTGGGGACTTTAACACCCTCCGGACTGAGTTGCCAACACAATTTTATTTAAACTCCCTGGGGACTAAACTGCCCTCACAGTTTTATCTCTAACCCCCCCCCCCCCTTCCCCAGTAATGGCCCCTGGTACTCCACAGGGGGTATTTATTCCCTCAGCCGACACGTGTGGGCATTCTGCTGAGTAACCACCGACCCGTCTGCTTCGAGATACCAATTAAGTGATTTTGTGTATCTGTGTAGTATTGTTCGATTTGTATGTGCTGATAAAGGCTCTATGGTCGCAACGTTCACGTTTTGTTTGTTTTTATGAAGCTTGCTAGTATACTTTTCGTTTGGTTTTATATCTTTTCTCAATAATCAAGGGAAAGGCGAGACGGATATACAATAAGACAGTTGCCGCAGCCTTCGGAATTGGAACTCTCCGCTTGCTGCTGAAGATAGGAACGGGGCGCCTATGGGAGGTACCATGTCAATTCTAAATTCAGCATTCAATAAGCAAATTTATATATGTGAGGATATACTGACCCATCCCCACAGTATGTGCAACAATCATTGACGTCTTCTGTCGAGATGTGGACCTGGCCACCGCCTTTGATACAGATCCTGTCGGTGATAGCTTCAACAGCTCCGAAAGCCTGTTGGAAGAGTGAGGACGGAGCTTCATTTAGCGATCTGCTTTCTCTGTAAAAGATCATAGATATATTTTTTTAATATCCAGCGACTGGGTCAACCATCGGTTGGCCAGTATACGACTTCGTCGTGGGTCGGGACAGTATTTGGGTGTGTCTCCATTTGATCGCATCGACACTGCAAGAGTCCTTTGCATGGATACTTGGTGGCCAACAATGTTAAGCCATTTAATATGGCACAAATAACCTAATCAGAGATATAACCAAAAGCTCCCATGGGATGCTGGTTAAACGTGACGATTTTTTTGGGGGGGGGGGGGGCATGGCAAAGCCGTGACAGATAAAGGGTGTTGGAGTCATAGGTTGACAGAGTGAGAGACTGATGGATGCACTGAGAGCGGGGCAGGATTAAGGATAACCAGTCACTCTCATCTCTAAATGGGGACATATGTTTATGGAGAAATGTGATCGCCTGTGCCATCAGGCGTATTGGACATACAGGGCCCTTTAAAAATAAAGAACCCTTTTCCCCGTCCTCGTGTGTATTGGGCATAAAGCGCTAGACCTACATTTTATGGACCAATCGGCACTCAGCCGCCTTGACTTCACAGGAATGTATCTGGTACCCACTCGTCACTGGTTCGATCTGAGAGGTAAAGTCATTTTTGAAAATAAAAGTCCGCCTCGGTCAAGACCTGAACCCACGACCTTTGCTTCGCCAAGCATCATGGCGGCTCCCGTGGACAGAGCAGATTTAGATAATTATCTAAGAATGCTTGGTCGAATGGTAGAAATAAGGTAAGAGATTGCAATTTCTGGACAGAAAGGTGCATAGTTTACAGTTAATCTGTAAACTAGAGACCAACGTGTGAGCTGCCTTGTAAAGAGCGAATGGAAACAAGAAGTGGGGAAAAAGAAACACCACTGGATGGAATCAAAGACGTCATCGTGTGAGATGGGTGTGCATAATCATGGAGTTTTACTCTGCATGGCCTCTGATGAGTGTGATGACAACGAAAATAATACTGATGATCATGATGATGTCAAGTGGTGGTGGTTGTGGTTGTGACGAAATGAGGATGATGATGATAAGATAATTGAAGGGGTGATTCAGGTGTGAATACTGAGAATGAAAACACTTGAGACAACAACGATAAAAACTCACCCAACACGAACCACAGTTAGACTGATCCCAGATTTCAATCAGACTAGGGCAGTGCGTCCATTTAGTCCTGGGGTCAAAGTTGACTGGCAGATCGTCCCTGACCTGGACATTCTTATAAGTGAGATGTTTTCTGGCGATCAGATTCAGTACATTAGTCGTCTGTATATCTAGTACTCACAAACTTTAATATTCAGGGTGTTTGTAGAGCCTTACTACACTTAGTATGTAGAAAAACAATTAAAACTAGAAAATGAAGTACATGAAGTCATAAAACAATTTGCTCAAGTCAGTCCTGAAGTAATGTGCAATGAATGGATGTCATCTGCTGAAGTTATTCTATGCACTCAAAACATGTTTTTTCTTTAGTAAGTAACTGTGGTGGTTTCTTGAAAGACTTAGTTGCTGTTGTTAATGTATGAGAAAGATAGATTCTCTTGCTTGGTAAACGATGTGTTAGAGGTAGAAAATAAAGAGGCAACATACAAGACAAAGACAAAGCTGTGTGTAGGTGGACAAACAACATCAGGAGAGGACTGAAAACATGTGTACCATAAACATACAAGACACAGACTTGTAGGAGTAATATTTCGGCAGAGCAGTGAAACAAAAACGAGACTTAATAGCAGTGATGATGGCGACGACGATCATAATTACTACAACGATCATGATGATGATAGTCTTCTTCTTCTTCGCGTTCACCAGCTGTAAACTCTGGCGGAAGGTTCTGGTTGCTCGTCTACTACTGAACTGCAGTCCTGCTCCAGAACCTGAGTGTTGCGTGTGCATCAGTTTTACAGATCTCATTCTCTTGAATACAGACTGTTGGTTCCTTGCCTCTCCGGCAGACGCACTCCGTCTTCAAAGGAAGCTCCCCAATTAGTTGACTCTTACAACATGCTTTTGGGAAGGCAGTGGGTCTATTCTTGTTTTCACCACAATGGGGCCCCGGAACCCACACAGGGGGATGATGATAGTGTTGCGTATACTGTGTTGCACATACCTGCTGAATTCCATTACCTCTGTGAGGTTGACACCCAATAATCTCTTGGCTCTCTCCAGCTCGTGCGGGTAGAAGTTCCTGCCAGCCTGCAGAGAAAAGAATATCCTTAAAGAACGAATGAAAGACAGCTGCTATGAGCATCATTGTAAAGTTAGTTGCGTATCCTTTACAGGACGTTGCAGAACCAAACCCAGCAGCCCCTGGCTGTTGTGTGGTTTCTCTAGGCAAATTTAAGTCCAGTAGTTTGCCATTGCTTTTTGGACGGTCGGCCCCCTGATACCACTGTCGAAACCAACACAAGGCGTATGGCCCGCAGCTGGGATCGAACCCGGTACCCCGGCATTGCGAACCGTTCGCATCGACTTAGCCACTGAGCCGACGCTATGAGCATGGGAAATTTAATTCTCTATGAAAGTTGTTGGAGTTTCTATTTTAAAAAAAAAAATAGAGTGGGACATCATGGGTTCAGTCTATCAACAAATAGATTTGCTGGTACTTGGAGCCAGATACGAACAATATGAACTCTAAGCCTGGGACAGTGTATACGAGACCAAGTTTTCTCAGATAAAGGGGAGAAAAGAGGAAGTATCTCGTTTGATCTCGCCATGCTGGAGATGTATACAAGAAAGTAAGTAAAGATCCCATTCATAATGTCTTTGTGTTTATAGGGCTGACATTGCCACAAGTGCTTAAAAAAGGCTAATGAAAGTAGATCTCTATAGACAACAATAAGAAAGAGACAAACACTGTTCTTTGGCCACATAATGAGAAGAGAGACATTGGAGAACACCGTGATAACTGGAAAGATCAGTGGGAAAAAGGGTAGAGACAGACCAATAGAGATGATGCTAGATGGGCTAAAACGATGGCATGAAAGGATATCATCAAGAGAGCTGTTCCAGTCAACCAGGGATCGTGATCTGTGGAGACGCATGAGCGCCTACGCCAGTTGGCAGGGCATATGATGATGATGATTGCTACAAGTGTAGACATCGTTCTAAAAAACAATTCATTAACCAGTTCTGATAAAATATACGATGTAAGCTGAAGCAATATGAATAAAGTATTTCGAATTTGGAACTAGGTGTGGATCTGGCAAGAAAAGACGTACTAAAGGGAAGTGTACAATTCATGTGCAACACGTATGTCTATGGAACAGTTGATTCCTTACCTTCGCCCTGAACGTTGTAAACAAAAAGACATGATCCAGACACTGCGGGCTGCACTGGTTGTTAAATTTGTACTTCAGTTATAAAGAATTCACCTACTTGTTATTAGTATATAATTGTTACTTCAGTATGCACCTGACGAGGTAGAGTGAAATATGCCAGGCAATAAATTGTGTAACATATTGTTTGTGTCTTCTTGGATTTTTAATTGACATCGAGATCTGTGTAACGTAACGAATTTACAGGCAACACTGAAGTCCTGGAACTCCAGAAATGGACGAACTAAAAGGACTTTCAACTGGAATGTACAACATGTGAGAGGAAAGAAGGACAAACAATCAGTAGTCGTCAGTAGTCGGCTCTGTGGCTAAGTCGATGCGAACGCTTCGTAATGCCGGGGTGCCGGTTCATTGCCAGCTGCGGGCCATGCGCCTTACGTTGGTTTTGACAGTGGTCTCAGGGGGCCAACTGTCCAGGACCAAAGGCAAACTACTGGACGTAAATTTGCCTAGAAAAACCACACAACAGCCAGAGGCTGCTCGGGTTGGTTCTGCAACGTCCTGTAAAGGATACGCAACCAACCTAGCTGCCAGTAAGATAGGTTGGTTGTTGTCTAGGATCGCGTTTTGGATAACTCCGCAAAGTGAAGTAGCCAATGTATCTTTGTATGTGCTGTCCTAAAGTTAAAAAAAAACTGCCAATGTTGTTAATGAAAAGATGAATAATATGGATGGATCCATCAATGGATGGATGGAAAGAACGTCATTAGAAAGACATACAAGCAGAAAGAGAAAAAGAAAGACAGACAGACAGAAAGAAAGAAAGAAAGAAAGAAAGAAAGAAAGAAAGAAAGAAAGAAAGAAAGAAAGAAAGAAAGAAAGAAAGAAAGAAAGAAAGAAAGAAAGAAAGAAAGAAAGAAAGAAAGAAAGAAAGAAAGAAAAGAAAGAAAGAAAGAAAGAAAGAAAGAAAGAAAGAAAAGAAAGAAAGAAAGAGAAAGAAAGAAAGAAAAGAAAGAAAGAAAGAAAGAAAGAAAGAAAGAAAAGAAAGAAAGAAAGAAAGAAAGAAAGAAAGAAAGAAAGAAAAAGAAAGAAAGAAAGAAAGAAAGAAAAAGAAAGAAAGAAAGAAAGAAAAAGAAAGAAAAAGAAAGAAAGAAAAGAGAAAGAAAGAAAGAAAGAAAGAAAGAAAGAAAGAAAGAAAGAAAGAAAGAAAGAAAAGAAAGAAGAAAGAAAGAAAGAAAGAAAGAAAGAAAGAAAGAAAGAAGAAGAAAGAAAAGAAAGAAAGAAAAAAGAAAGAAAGAAAGAAAAAAGAAAGAAAAGAAAGAAAGAAAGAAAGAAAGAAAGAAAGAAAAGAAAGAAAGAAAAGAAAGAAAGAAAGAAAGAAAAAGAAAGAAAGAAAGAAAGAAAGAAAGAAAGAAAGAAAGAAAGAAAGAAAGAAAGAAAGAAAGAAAGAAAGAAAGAAAGAAAGAAAGAAAGAAAGAAAGATAGAAAGAAAGAAAGATAGAAAGAAAGAAAGAAAGAAAGAAAGAAAGAAAGAAAGAATGAAAGAAAGAAAGAAAGAAAGAAAGAAAGAAAGAAAGAAAGAAAGAAAGAAAGAAAGAAAGAAAGAAAGAAAGAAAGAAAGAAAGAAAGAAAGAAAGAAAGAAAGAAAGAAAGAAAGAAAGAGAAAGAAAGAAAGAGAAAGAATGAACGAAAGATAGAAAGAAAAAAACATGCATGACTGTAGACAGAATGGGAGAAATAAAAAAAGAAGGAGACAGGATTGTCCAGACTGGAAAGAAGAAATTAATTAAAGTATACTCTCTTTAGACGGTGACCAACCTTCCAGTTAGCTCCTGACAAGCTATTGATGTAGGTAATCTGTTCATCACTCAGCGGTTTAAACTGTTTTGTGTTGGCAGCAGTCAAGGCCACTAGGACACATATCAACACCAAGAATTCCATGCCTGCAACCATTTCTGTGAATAGCCAACAAAAACTTAAACTGTATCCATCTGGCAATACGGAAGATTTAAAAAAATTTCACCACAATATGAATTTTTTGAAGAGCAACAGATGAAATAATTTGACCCTCTAAATCAGTGGATCTTAACCTTCCTAATGCCTCGACCCTTTAATGCAATTCTTTATGTTGTGATGACCCCCTAACATGAAATTATTTTCGTAGCTACTTCTTCTTTTGTCAAAATCTGCTTGTGCCGCTAGGCGTCGCAGTCTATCAGATGATTGGCAACCGAGTCAGGGCGCGCTCAGTCGCTTCATATGCCGTGATGTTATGAAGTCTCAAGTTGTCCGTGACTCCTTGAATCCATGTTCTTCTTGGTCTTCCCCTGCCTCTTGGTGTTTCGATTTTCATGTTGTATGCTCTTGATGCTGGCATCGTTGGTTCCATTCTCATTAGGTGACCAAACCATTTCATTCTTTGCTTCTCAATAAATTTAACGATGGGTATGGTTCCAATAGTTCTTGTAATCACATCGTTTCTCACTCGATCTCTTCTGGTTTTATTCGCAGCCATTCTCAAACATCTCATTTCACAGGTGGTTAGTCTTCTCTCGTGTTCTTTTGTTAATGTCCAAGTCTGACATTGATAACCTAATGTCGGTATAAAGATTGTATTTATAATTTGTCTTTTTATCTCAGCTGGGACAGCGGGGTGTTTTAAAATTGGGGCAAGCTGGTATGCGACATTGTTGGCTTGTTGGATTCTTGCTTCGATCTCTATGTCTATTTTACCATTGAATGTAAAGATACTTCCCAAGTATTTAAATTCTTGCACTTGTTTTAGGCTGTGATCTAGAATCTTTATGTCGATGGTCTGTTGCTCTCTACTTATGCTCATGACTTCTGTCTTTTCAGTATTGATCTTCATATGATGCTTGAGGCAACTGTTCTATAGTAGGTTTATGTGGTCTTGCAGCTGTTTACTATCACTGTGAAATATGCATTGATCGTCGGCAAAGAGCAGCTCATTGAAGTCCTCCTGTTTATCGACATCTGTTGGTGTTATGTCTATTTTATTAATATTGTCCATAAATATTATGAAAATTAAAGGTGATAATACACAACCTTGTCTTACTCCTGATGTTACTGGGAACCAGTCTGTGATGCCAGCTCTTGTTCTAATGGCGCTTTCACTTTGTCTATAAATAGCCCTAACACAATCATAAATTATGTGAAAGAAGTGGCCAGAGGATCTGCTCAGAGGAAAGGCAAAGACAGGAAGATTATATTGTCGTCTGGGTGCCCTAATTTATTCACATTACACTTGTGTCTTTGCTAATGCTTGATTTTTATTTTATTTTATATATTAACATTGTCTTTGCCCTATATGCTTTAAATGCAATCATTGTCTTTGCCCTATGTACTTTAAATCTAATTATTGTTTTTGGCCTACGAAATTAAATCTAACTAATAATTTGCCGTATGCACTTTAAGTCTAATTAATGTGCCTTTCAATTAAGTGTATTTAACGTATCTTTAAAATAATTATGCAAGTGAGACACAAGGACAATGTCGTTAATCAGGGACAGATCACCAAGACACGCCACCAAAGTCTATGAAAATCCAATTTTTATGGTACTTTTAACGAGATAGATAGATTTGTTTTCTTGCACATATTTTTCTGCCGTAAGACTTGCCCTGCACTGACAAATCGAAAAGATCGCGTCCCGAACCGAACCCACCACTCTAGGAGCATTGAAGGTAGTATTGGCTACACTACGGAACTCCATCAACTCTGATAGTCTCGGGCAACGCCCAGTGAGTAAGTGGCTATGTCCCTTAATATACATAACGCTCATTCTATATTTAGTCATGGCATACTTTAAAAAACAAACTGGCTTCTCCAAGGGTAATTGTGACTGTTTGTGTTGTCGCTTTAAAAGAAATTTATTTTTAAGTGTTTACCATTTTTATTTCTTGTGTGTGTGTGTGTGTGTGTGTGCATCTCAGATAAAACATACTGGTGCTGAAAGAGTTAAGTGATGATAGTTGTTATAGTGAAACATACTAGTACTGAAAGAGTTAAGTGATGATAGTTGTTATAGTGAAACATTCTGGTGCTGAAAGAGTTAAGTGGCGATAGTTGTTATAGTGAAACATACTGGTGCTGAAAGAGTTGAGTGATGATAGTTTTTATAGTAAAACATTATGGCGCTGAAAGAGTTAAGTGATAGTAGTTGTTATAGTGAAACATACTGGTGCTGAAAGAGTTAAGTGGCGATAGTTGTTATAGTGAAACATACTGGTGCTGAAAGAGTTGAGTGATGATAGTTTTTATAGTAAAACATTATGGCGCTGAAAGAGTTAAGTGATAGTAGTTGTTATAGTGAAACATACTGGTGCTGAAAGAGTTAAACATACTGGTACTGAGGGTGTTAAGTGATGATAGTTGTTATAGTGAAACATTCTGGTGCTGAAAGAGGTAAGTGATGGTTGTTGTAAATGGAAATATACTGGTACTGAAAGTGTTAAGTGATGATAGTTGTTATAGTGAAACATACTAGTACTGAAAGAGTTAAGTGATAGTAGTTGTTATAGTGAAAAATACTGGTACTGAAAGAGTTAAGTGATGATAGTTGTTATAGTGAAACATACTGGTATTAAAAGTGTTAAGTGATGATAGTTCTTATAGTGAAATATACTCGTGCTGAAAGTTAAGTGATGATAGTTGTTATAAGGAAATATACTGGTACTGAAAGTGTTAAGTGATGATAGTTGTTATAGTGAAACATGCTGGTGCTGAAAGAGTTAAGTGATAGTAGTTGTTATAGTGAAACATGCTGGTGCTGAAAGAGTTAAGTGATGATAGTTGTTATAGTGAAACATACTGGTGCTGAAATATATATATGTGTGTGTGTGTGTGTGTGTGTGTGTGTGTGTGTGTGTGTGTGTGTGTGTGCATGTGTGTATGTGATGCAATAATTAAATAGCTAATCAGCTTTGGAATCCCTAAGTGCAATAAGAGAAACTGGGACTGAGTCTTATATTAACTGTTGCTGCAAAAGACGCATCAAGACTTGTTTTCAGTGCGTGTCTTTTTTCTCTTTGAAATATATATATATTTTTTTTTTTAAAGTTTCAAAATGTACATTAATTCAAGTAGAAAATTTTACACGTGTTTCTGCATCGGCCTCGCTGAAATTTTCGGCTCTCCTCCGAACTTCTACCCACGCATTATGGCGGCCTGAAATATCCGTTCGGGGCTTAGTTCTATAAAAAATATGCCGGCTCTGTATAACGAAACAAATGCTCTAACAGGGTCTCGGCGATATGTTAATTGCGGACCTGCTTCTTTTTGTTTCTAATTATCTGACAATTCTAAGAGACGCAACACTGCAGACGACGATAATTGCGACCGTTGACACTTTCCATAGTCGAACTTTCTGCCGACAAACAAATTGCGGCAAATCTAGGATCGGCTCGGAAAAATGAAACAAATGCTCTAACAAGGTCTCAGCGATATGTTACTTACGGACCTGTTTCTGTGACTATGCCTCACCCCCGACATTATAGGGTCTTAACTAGATGGCTGGGACTCACGAGCAGCAGCTACCGCATCTCCTGCAGCTCATTCCAATTACTTTGCTCGTGTCCCAGGCAGCTAGTTTAGCCCCCCCCCCCCCCATCCGCGCCGCGCGTAGAGGCGTGGGGGATACCCTCGGCGGTGAGTTAAATCGCATGCCGACAAGTCTGGCATTTACCGCATCTAAATCCTCAATCAGAAGACCAATATTGCTAATCTGCGTGGGAGCGCGTGGTATACCTGCCATATCGCTTTCATCGTCTGTAATGTCTCAAAATTGTCACCGGTCGCTTTTATCGTCTGCTAGTATCGTCTGCAACGTTGCGTCTCTTGACATTGTCAAGTAATCCTAGTTTTGCCGCGATTTGTTCCTTGGCAAACAGTGCGCATTTTTCACTGGACTGAGCCCCGAACGGATATTTCAGGCCGCCATAATGCGGGGGTAGAAGTTCGGAGGAGAGCCAAATTTTCAAAGAATAGCACTCAATAGCAAAAAAAAATACATAATCGTTTACCTTTCTGTAAACTATAAAGAAAATAGCATTATTAAATTACAAGAAAAACTGTTTTTCAAAAAATAATCTTACCAACTAATTTCTTATGAGCCAAACAGCGAATGAGCCAAACAGCAAATGAGCCAAACAGCAAATGTGCAAACATCTGATTGTCCTTTTATGGTGACGCTGGCTCCCACTATCACGTGTCTGTTGTTTCCATATTTCTCATTAGATAACAGACAACCAATACACATAAAAACATTTAGTCATGTGAGAACATGACACGTGATTATTTACCTAGATGTGATCTTCGGCCGACCTCAGACGATGACTGCAGTAAAGGGTGTGACATGGGGCATTTTTGGTTCTTTTCTTTTAATTCACCCTATTTTTTTTTTTTTTTGTTTTTTTTTTTTTTTTTTTTGCTTCATTGCTTCTGATTTGCAAATGCTCACCTCACGAAACCAGCAGCAACCAGAGGAGCTTTTTAATTAAAATAAACTAGAGGCACCAAACTGTGAACTTCCTGATCAGCCTGCTTTATTTGATAGCGAGCAGGCCTGTAGCCACGGACTCATGTATGCGCAGGACTTCCTTCCTATCTGACAGCTTTGAACCGTGAACACTGCAAATACTCTTCACTTGTTTCTCTAGAGCCGTGGGATCGTTTTGCTTGCCACCACGAATCCGGTTGCCACCACTTTACCTTTGCGTATCTACAGACTTCTTTACTTCTGGGGTTAGAATTGCATGTTGCACCTTCGACCACACAATCACGTCAGGTGGTTTCTCCAACATCAGTCTTTCGTGAGTTTTGTATTCTTCAGTGTATGCTGGACAGGCTGTAAAAACACTGCGGTTGCTAAGGCTGGTCCAGTACTGGATAGAAGCGATGTTATAAATGCCACGTCTTGTTGCTT